TCATCAATTGACTCTTATCACCATTACAGCGAAATTAAAATCAGCATTATTGGAATATAAAGGAAAAGTTCTCAATTGGATACCCATAATATATACAGTAATTAATTGCAAGCCACAGGCAACAAACTTTACATCAATACCTAATGTCAGAACAAACAGTAAAATTTGGGAAATAACCACACTACCATTCAATCAATATCTCAAAATCACAAATAAAAATAGAAACCAAGAGATGCTCGTCAAATTACCTGATTGAATTTGAGTAATTCCACTACCACCAGACCCACAACTCAAACGACGAGCAAATCGAGACCAACGGCACCCTCAACATGAGCGGCCAGAAGAGCAACGTCAACGAGGATGGCAGGAGCGATCCGTTCCTTCCTACATTTGTGATTCTTCCAATGCTCGAAGATCGAAGATTAGTATGAAACTAGAGCTCGAAGTTCTTCAGGTAATTGAGTCGTTGGAAGCATGCCATAAAGTCCTTGATGGGGAAATAACATCAGTTAGAACGCTTGCCTCTTTTCTGTAGTATGTCGACGGCGGCAACGACGGAACCCCGCCGGGGGCGGTGGTGAAGGCTCTGGAGAAGGAGGATGAGATATGTACACCAACAAGAGGCCGAGGGGTCGCCTAGCGGTTCCAAAAAACAAGCCTCTGTCGGCGCCAGATTTGGCGAGATAGAGTTAGAGAGAGGGAGAGATGAAGAGAGAGAGGGGGAGAGATTAAACGGCGGCCGGCGCAAGACGGTGGGGGAGTAGTGGCGGCGGGTAGCGCAAGACGGTGGGAGAGCAGTGGTTGCGAGAGAACGTAAGAAAGAGGGAGAGTGAAGAGAGATGAAGAGAACGGCGGTGTGGATTGAAACGTGTGAGTGTGAAGAGAGAAGATTAGGAGATTGGGGTATATTATATATTGAATTAAAACTAAAAGGGTAAAACATGTACTTCAAGTTGTTCAGGGGGTCTCACTAATTAAGATCAAAATTTTGGTTTTTGACTAGTGCAGAAATATTTATTGAGCCTCCTCATATATATTTTCAAAAGTAGGGAGTTATCACTCATTTCCCCAATAGTTAATTATTCTTATTAAGATTAGCGACACTACATCTCTTAGTGGTTTTTTCTTTGAAAAGCAATATGTAGTTATACTTTTTGTTTTGAGATTTTTAAAGAAAACTATTTGTTGGAGATATTAATACTAAATGATACATTTCACTAACAGCTTAAGCTTTTGGTTGAGATGGTCATTCAACATGGTATCAAAGCCAGACCAAATGAAAGGTCCTGAGTTCGAATCCCACCGCCACCCAATTCAAATATTTCAAGTGCAAGGCTTCAAATGTAATTCGCCTGCACTTGAGGGGGCGTGTTGGAGATATTAATACTAAATGATACATTTCACTAACAGCTTAAGCCAAATGTAATTCGCCTGCACTTGAGGGGGCGTGTTGGAGATATTAATACTAAATGATACATTTCACTAACAGCTTAAGCTTTTGGTTGAGATGGTCATTCAACACTATTCCTTTTTGAGATAAATTGTGAATTACTTAATTCTGAATTTGTGCCGCTGACTTTTGATAAGATAGCAACTTAGCTATGTTCTGTGAGTTCACATAACTCTTTCTAACCTTGTTACAAGCTGAGTACACTACGTGTTTTTCAACATTAGTAAAAGGGCAATGTAGTAGTCTATCTTTGACATCATTCATTCATACTAAATGAGTAATGTAATTTTCGACCTTGTTCCAGAATATTTATGAGTTGTTGGAAAATTTACATTATAATAATTTGATATGATTTATTTTGCATCTCTGTTATGAGCATGAAATATTCTCTTACTAACGTTTACTCCCATGAGTTGAGATATATATGGTTACTTATTGGGCTATAAACTTATTCCCGGTGTATTTTATTTATCCCTTTTAGATGAGTACGTAGAGCTGCACTTAGGAATATAATAGTCGTCATTTCAGATTATTCAACTTCAACGACTAAGATTATCTTGAATTTTATCCATTTTATTTTGGATGATTTTATCCCCTCCCCTTTTTACAATTTTTTTATTTGGTGATTCATTTTGCTGGCACCATTCTCATTGGTATCAATCAATGAGTTTTCATTACTCTTTGTTTCTGATATATCTTGATTTTCTTACATTATTTCGTATAATTATAATCTAATTATAATTATTTCATGCATATATAATTATTGCACTAGTTACTTTTGATAAGTTACATTTAGCAAGATACTGAGCAGCCATATAAATGGATCGGATCGGAGACGCAAACTTGAATTCCATTTTGGGCAGAGATGTGCCCAAAATCTTTTGATCTCGTCAGTGGGAGTTACGTTATAGAACTCCAATTCAAAGAACAACCTTTGTCAAGGATTATGCTGCTTATTAGCAAAATCCAGAATTTTGTATGCGAGTGCTGGCGGATCAATGCATGAATGGGCCAAGGAGAATTAAGGCAAAGATGATCGGAACTGTTAGTGGTTTCAAATAATACAATGCAGCTAGCTAGTAGTTGCTTCACCATCAACAAATTAAATGCAACATCGATAATCAACTTTTCCCAACTAATGAAAATGTAGTCCCTTTTAGAATCAACCGAAGTTTAGAAATCGAGTCCCTTTTAGAATCAACCGCTCTTCTAAATCCAAGCCCTCAGAGAGATTTAGGTTACAAATTGAGTTCCAACACTTGCCCGTATATAAGTGAATTCCTTTTTGCATAATTTTCACCCCGGCCGGTACTAGAGACTTCTCATGCTAACATCAAGCTTGTTACAAACTTGTTTTGGAAAGAGGGACGCTGGCATAAGATATGAAGCCAAAACTTGGGAAAAATATCTTTAACAATTGCGGTCTTAACATATAGGTCCCTAGTGACAAAATTTATTAAAATTAAATGACAAGCTTAACTAAAGATTTGCTACACATTCTTCAGAAAATTCATTCAAAAAATGCCCCCAACTCACAAATTCGAAATAATCATCTTTGTAGTCTGCAATATTTCATTTTTCCATCTAATATTTTTTTTTTTCAGAAATCACATTTTCCTTTCTTTTTGTTTTTTTCTTTCTTCATTTTAGCATTTAACATTTTTTACACCATTATAAAACCGAAAAAAGAAAAAAATCCTTTTTTTTCTATATAATATGGAAAATTACAAAAAAAAAAGAAAAATATGTTTTTTCATTTTTTTAAAATTCAATTTACCTATTTTTTAATATATATATATATATATATATATATATATATCTATATATATATATATATATATATATATATATATATATATTAATTTTATCTGTTGTGTTGTTAATATTTTAGTAGACTGTGGTATACTACGGCGTACTACGGTTAACTACAGCGTAGTATTCCAAACCCTAGCATCAAACAAATTCTCAGCCGTCGCCAATCCTAGCAGCCAACAATTCGCAGCCGCCGCCAACTCCTTTCCACCAAACCTAGCCGTCTACCAAAACTCTAGGGCCGTAAAAAAACCCTAGGTTGATGCAATCGCCTCCAACCATCGATCTAACCTCACACCACCATCTCCAATGGCCATATCCACCATAACCATCACTAACCAAGACAACCACCGTTATTGCCACCTCCGTTGCCCCCTTCTACACGTGCCCCCTCCATGGCATCGCCGCCGAGGTTTCCAAGAACCTCGATCGAAATCTTCAGATCTCCGCATCGCCCCCTTCAGCCTCCTCTACTGCTCTGCAACGGATTTGGAATGGGTCCTCAGAATGGGATGGGTTGGACGATAGAAATACGGGAGGAGAGAGAGGTGAAACAGTTGAAAAGAAGAGAGAAAGGGATGTGATAAACATCGTTTGAGCTTTAATAATACCGTTTCGACTTCAAACTTAATTTTGATCATTTTTTATTCCAAATTTTGCCAAACCTGAAAAATAAGATTTGTAGTATTCCGAGTTCGTTTTCTAATCCAACTTGAATCACCAAAATTGGACGTCGGACGAGAAAGATATACATGAATCAATGGATACTTCCCACAACTTTGATGTATTGAGATATCTAAAATTCAAAATGTGACTCATTCATGCATAACTTTGTCACACAACATCCAATCTAGCGGACTTAAGTTGAATTAGAAAACTAACCCAAAGGACTACAGTTTTCGTGTTTCGAATTTTGCCAAAATCAAAATAGAAATATATCAAAATCAGGTTCGAAGTCAAAACGGTATTAGTAAAATTGAAACGACATTTAACATTTCAGAGAGAGAAATGGCCGGGGTGGGGCGACTGGAAAAAGAAAGAACATGAGAAGAGAGAATGAGAGGAATGATAGATAAATCTATATTTTATTTGAGGCTGTCATCCATTTCAAATTAAGTTTGTGGTGAGGGGCTCCTAGCATATTACCCTTAACAATAATACTCCTGCCAACTTAAAGAAAGATTTTTGGGTTTCCAACCACCGAGATCGGAATTGATGAGTTTATCACATAGACTGGTACGAAGCTGGATTCAAAGTTTTGTATATTTGAGAGTTTTTTTTTGTTTTTTTTTTTTTTTGGTTTTTTTTATTTTTTTTTATTTTTTTTTTTATAAAACATTATATATAAAAATCAATTTTTTGGAGGCACAAAGCGCTGGCCTTGCTCACTTTGAGCTTCGGCGGGCCATGGTTATGCCTCGATAAAGAAATATATTTATTTTGGTCGAATATGTTTCACACTATGTATACGTTTTTTCAACAATGATTTATGAACCAGCTAATTTCATAAATTGTTTTGATCTTATAAATTGATTAGAATCATCTATAGATAGTCAATTCACTCTCAATCAGTTTCTACCTACTATTTATCATGCTTTAAAGGAAACATGTGTTACAAATTGGACTGCATCTATATATGTTATTTGTCATAATAATAATAATTAGTACCAAATCTTGAATTAATACATTTCTTTTGTTGTAATTCTCTTCCATAAACACACATATTCAATGCAAAAAAAAAAAAAAAAAAAAATCACAAGTTACATATAAATTATAATGACTATTATGATATTGCATAAAGTCCATCAAAATCTCATCATTATAATTAGCAAATTACTGTTACAGATTAGAGTTAAGATTAGCTGAAATTAACTAGTTAAATAGCTTTCAATATTGCCAATCAAAACATACGTTTTCACCTGACCAAAAATCCAAACATTAACTAACAAATATTTCTTAACTCCCAAATCATATGTAAAAATGTTAAAAACATAAATAAATAATTCCAGCTAGCTTTCATGGTACTAGAAATCCCAACTCTATAAATTAGACACATATTTTCATTCTTCCCTACACAAAATCCTCAAAAAATCCAAAAACTTTTCCCTCAATCTAAAAACAAGAAGAAGAAAAAAGTCGATCGCTATGGCGAAAAAACCAAGCATGGGCAGACAAAAGATCAAAATCGAGAAAATAGAGGTAAAAAACCACCTACAAGTCACCTTCTCGAAACGCAGATCCGGTCTATTCAAGAAAGCCAGTGAGCTCTGCACACTTTGTGGGGTCGAAATCGCAATTATCGTCTTCTCACCAGCTGGCAAAGTTTTCTCCTTCGGCCACCCCAATGTCGAGTCCATAGTCGACAGGTTCTTGCCTCGAAACTCTGCCACTAACAACAACACCAATATTAATATGAATATTACTAATAATAACGGGGGCCCGTATCATATTATCGAGGCTCAGAGAAATGCAAGTGTTAGAGAACTGAACTTGCAATTAGGGCAAGTTACGTACGAACTCGACTTGGAAAGGAAAAGGGGTGAGAATTTGGACAGCATGAGAAAAAAAAATGAGACGCACTATTGGTGGGAGGCGCCCGTGGAGAAATTAGGGTTAGAGGAGCTGGAGCAGCTCAAGACTGCAATGGAAGATCTCAAGGAGAATGTGAGTCAGCAGTTGACTAAGATGATGAATATTCCTTCGAATATTTACATGTCGAATAATAACGGGGTTTTCGACCAATACGAGAGTAAACCTAGCCAGCTGGCGATTGTGGCTGATCATGAGAATAATAATGTTGATCATGCCAATGCTGGTTTTGGTTATTGCCATGGATTTTTCTGAAGCATGTAATCTTTATAATTTGATCATTAGTTTTTGGTTTTGTGCTAGTACCTTACTAGCTTTTTATTATTGAATAATCAATCATGCTTATGTTTGAATTATTATGATGAGATTTCATATATATTATATATGTTCTTGCAATGAGAATTTGTTTTGGTTTTCATTAATATTTCATGTATCCCAAATAATTATAACTGCAGGAGCAATTGTTGGCGTTTAATTGTGATGCGACTTTCTAGATATACTGATGAACAATAATTTATTTATTTATTTATTTTTGGTTATATATGAACATTAGGCTTACACATTAATGTTATGAATAATATGGAATAATGATATTTCCTTTTTTCTCCTGTGTTACGTTGATGGAAGCATGGGGTTGGATATGGTCTTATAGATTTAAATATATAACTGATCATGAACTGAATTAACTACCTTAATTTTGTAGAGCAATAAAAACTGAAGGAAAAAAGTAGCATAACATTTTTTAATGGTTACGTGGGTGTTTTGTGTTGGCACGACATTAGCGAGTCGCCTAATTAGCAATGTTAGGTACTTTTGTGAATAATACAATAGCTGCTAAAGTAAAACACGCTGGTTACACGTATAAAAAGATAAAGGAAGATTTCACCAAAATGAATCCAACACATAGAATCGTTTTTCCAATAGATTTGGCTAAGACCATTTTAGTTCAGTCCAGTTCTTTTGTCTAGAAATCCACAATGGGGGCAACTCTTTACAGGAACAAACTCCAGCTTTGGTTTCGCGCGGCCTAAACCTAGTTCTACCTAATTCTCTCAGTTGACTTGACTCACCAACACATGCACAGTCAATCAGGAACAAAGAACACTCAATCGCTCTGCTCAAACCGTAACTTTCACTCTCAATATTATTTAATAACTCACAGAAGAAGATTAAAACTGAAAATAATGAAGTGTGTATCAGGATCAATGTTTTGCTTTCTCTCTAAGAAAGCAAAAACAACAATGTGCTGAAGCATGGAATACGCTCCAGTGCCAAAGTCAATCGAGCACGGTGAAGGCTCCTTTAAGAGGTCATCGGGCAGAGAGAGAGAGAGAGAGAGAGAGAGAGAGAGAGAGAGAGAGAGAGAGAGAGAGAGAGAGAGAGAGAGAGAGAGAGAGAGAGAGAGAGAGAGAGAGAGAGAGAGAGGCAGAGGTGAGGAGATGAATGAGAGTTGGAACGCTTAGGATCAACTGAGATAAAGTAACAGTCAAGATTCGATATTGACCAAAGCTAGTTTGAGCTTAGTAAAACCGGCCCATTTCCTCGTGTGGGTCTCCCGGTAGGAGTTTAGAGTTGGTTTCAATCACAAAGTTCAATTTGAGCACATTTCTCAACAATTCTCCACTTGGCCCACGATGGATTTATTTGAACAATTCTGTACACTTTTTGGACATAACAATAAGGGGTTATCATTACTAATTTTCCTGTGTACACAAAGTCAATGGAGAAAAACTTTTAGCAATCACACAGAAAACTAAAAGAGAAATTCACATAGAATATTCACAGAGAATATTTGGGACTGTCACAAAGATAGCTCAGAAGATGCATTCACAAAGAACACATTTAGTCACATGGACTGTTTTAGGAACATAGCCATTTCAAGTTTCGAAAATTATGTTCAGTCTTTGCAAATATGAACAAAATTTCTCAATTGGTAAACATTTGGTTCCTATATCTGGTGGATTGAATTCAGATGGAATTTTTCAAGCTCAATCGATCATTTTTCCGCAATATCCCATACAAAATGTAACTTCACATCAATGTGCTTGGTCATATCATGGAAAATAGGATTTTTGCACCGTTCGATTCTATATTGGCTAGAGAATACACGACCTTTCTTATTCAATTTTTTTAGACATAATGCCTTTAAGCCAAATAGATTCTTTCATAACTTCAGTTGCAGTTATGTACTCAGATTCTATAGTACATAGAGAAATAATGTTCTGTAATTGAGATTTCTAACGAATACAAGCACCATAGAGAGTAAACACATAAAAAGTTGTTGATTTCCTAGAATCTCTATCATTAGCAAAGTTTGAATTCACATATCCACATAATTCAATACCAACAGAAGATTTAGAAATCATGATCCATGTTTTCAAGGAACTTTTCAAATACCTTAACAACTATTTAACAAGCTCCGAATGAGGCAAACCAAGAGCAGGCTTGTACCTACCAAGACATTTAATATCATATGAAATGTCATGCATAATGCATACCATCAAAACTTAATTGAACCAATTGCACTAGCATAAGACACATATTGCATTTCAAGTTTTTCACGTTCAGTCTTTGGAGATTGTTCCTTACTTAGTTAAAAATAAGCAGCTAAAGATACATTCACAAGTTTATAATTATTCATAGTAAATTTTCAAGGATGTTAACCACATAGGAAGATTGATTAAAAAACAATGAAAAATTCTTTCTATCTCCGACTGTGTCCATTTCTAAGATTTTTTTAGCACATCCCCTAAGGATTTCATGAAAAGTTTTCACTTAGACATGTTTTAACATGATCAATGGTGTTTAGATAAGGGTGGACAATTAACTACCATCTACATAAAGTAAATCCACATAAAGTAGAAGAAAAACACGAGTTTGAACAAGATCTTTAAAATACAAGTATGAATCATAAACGCTTCTAAAAAAATTGAAAGATACCATACATGAATCAAAATTCTTATTCCACTGTCTTTGAGACTGTTTCAAGGCATACAAAGATTTCTTTAGCTGAGAAATATAGAAATGATGCAGTTTATCAGTATATCCCAAGGATGTAAAAAACGGTAATCGGGTCAGAGGCGGTTAGGCACCGCCTCGCGATTAATCAGTACGGCGGTGATTAATCGGCGATAAATCAGAAATAAATCGGTTTTTAAAATTTACATAGATATTATTTATAAATACTTAAAATATATATAAAAAGATATCTAAACATGGTTATATCTCCATCATTTATATATTCTAATAACGTAATAAAAGTTTAATAATAATAAGATCATAATACTATAAAAATCCTTATAAAATACAAAATAAAAACGCAATTCTTTTGAATTTAAATTGTGTATTGAACACTGCAAGTATATATCATTAGGTTCTTTAATAATAAAGATTAACATAAACAAAATAAAGCATAAACTATTTTTTATTAAAATCCCAACTTTGATTTTGAATAAAAAAAAAAGAAAAAAAAAATCGATTTTTGCCACCAATGTTTGACCCGCCTCTAAGGTTTTGACCGCCTCAACCCGCCTCGGACCGCCTCTGCCTCAGTGACCGATTAATCAGCTGCCTCGCCCGATTTCTAGAACACTAGTAAATTCTTCAAGTTGGTTCATGTAAAATTTCTTGTTAAGTTCGCCATGCAAAAATGATGTTTTTACATCCATTTACTTAAGTTCCCCGTTAAAATGAGAAATTAAATCAAGTAATGTTCTAACAGTGGTGTACTTCACAACATGTGCAAAGATTTCATTATAGTTAATATCTTCTGTTTGGGTAAATCCCCTATCAACTAACCTAGTTTTATATCTAAGAGAATCTAAGTCATACTTGATTTTAAATAACCATTTACAATCAATCAAAGAACGCTTGGTAGGTTTATGAACAAAACTCCAAGTATTAGTGACATGCATATATTTCATTCCAGCATCCATATCTTCAATCAATTTGTTAAATTCATTAAATTTTAAAGCCTCATTACATGTTTTAGGTTCCTTTACATTCAAAGTTTCAAACACATTGAAAATAAAAGCAGATATATTGAAATCGTCAAAATGATGAGGTTTCCTAATGTTATCCCTTTTAGTCTATCTCTAGCAAGTTGATATTAATATAAATTATTTACATTAGGCACATAAGATTCCACATTTTGATCATAGACATCATCGAACATTTAGAATCATTCTTGACTTCATGTTGAGTTTCAGCAGGCACATTAGTGGATTTCTCCACCTCATATGCAATAGGATCAGGAACAGTAAACACATAAGCGCTAGAAATGGAAATTCAGACTCATTAAATACCATATATGTACTTATAATAGTTGTATATCCATGCCCATCAGGATAGTCAAGAAACACACATTTAACAAACATGGGATCTCAATTATCAATTTTCTGATGCAAAAAATCAGAACAAAAAAAAAAAAAAAAATTAGACTGGTCTACTAGTTTACCACACCAAACAAATTCAGGCAATTTACCATTTAGATGCACATAAGGGGATCTATTTACTAAATATACAACAATTATAACAACTTCTCCCCAAAACAGTTTATGTATCTAGATGCATCTTATTACATTGATCTAAATTTATCAAGAAGAGTCCTATCAGCAATACCATTTTACTGAGGGGTATATGCAATAGTCTTATGCCTCTTAATACCAGATTCAATGCATAAATTGTCAAATCATAATTACAAAACTCAATGCCATTTTATGTTCTCAAGGTTTTAATTTTTTTACCAGTTTAATTTTTAATTAGAGTCTTCCATACTTTAACCTTATCAATCAAATTAGATTTATGCTTAAGCAGAAACACAAAGACTTTTCTAGAAAAATCATCAATTATAGATATAAAATACCAATTCCCACCATGTATAAGAACATATGCAGGACCACACATATCAGAATGTATATACTCAAGAATATCAGAGCATTTGGATGAATTTGGGTATGAAGAAACGTGTAATTTAGATTTGATTTGCTTACCCTAAATGTATGAATCACATAAAGACATCAGACTCATAATATATTCATTAAGATATTTTTTCTTATAAAGAATTTCAAGACCTTTATTATTAATATGACCTAACCTGTTGTGCCATAATTCAGTTAAGTCATGCATGCTGGACAAAATTTACATATGCAACATACATGTTTTGAAATCCAACAGCCTTGAAAACAAGCATGCACCCCTTTTTAATCATCATAACACCATTACCTCATTCACCCTTATACCCACTATCTTCATGTGAAACACGTGACATTAGATTATTACTCAAAGTGGGAACATGTCTCACATTTTTCAGAGTTAACACATCAATTTCAAAATTAAGATTGATAGTTCCAATTCCTAAAATATG